ACGTTGCTCTATTTATAGTTTCATTCTGTGCTAACACAGCATTAAGCACAGCTTCGCATTATCAGGGCGCCACATTCAGGCCCGAACCCCAGCCTGGTCAAACAATATCGCTTCCCTTTAAACACAACTGTTTGATATGGCCACAGGGATTTTCAACACGAATCTGTAGATATGCTTTCCTGAGGTCCAGAATGGACACGTTCGCACCATGCTGTCTCCAGTCTCGCAGTTTTTCTGCGCAAAACATCCGCGGCACCTGTGAATGTTTCAACGTGGGTATTTAGTTCCCTATAGTCCATCACAGGACGCACCTTATGCTTGTTGGTCTGCAGCACGGCCATCAGTGGTATCAGTCCCTTGGGCGGGCCAAACTCCCTTGTTACTGTAACGGCACCAACCAACCATTGTCCATCCATGTTTGTAATTCATGCTCGTACTCCTCTCTCATCTCGGTGGATACTGGATACTCAGAGATCCGATTCTGAAGTTTCCTGGTGCATGACCTGCCGACCACTTCCAGGCTGCGACCCAAACTCCCTGCCGCTCATTGAATTTCGCACTGAAATCGGCTTCGCTGATACGAATCGCTGCACAGACGGACGTGGTTTTCAAACTCCACGCTTCCATGCTGCGTGATGCGAACTCCACCGAAGTGCCTTAATGGCGTCGATGCCAAGCAACAGGTCGAAATCCAGGGCTTCCCTCGCATAACCAGCACATCGATTGTAGCAGTATTACCAGTTGCTGTGCAAATTCTGGCGTGCCCCTTCCACAGCAAGCCTGCGTGGTTCCGGTTAAAGTAGATACCGCCATACCCTGCTTCGACCAAGACCGACATAAACTTCGCGCTCAAGATTGACCATGAGCACCCGAGTCAAGGAGAGCCGAGCATGGTGTGCCGTCAACACACACAGTAATGATGGGTAGCACCGAGTTTACTTGCTGTTTGGGAGTGGACCGGCGCTGAAGTCTCGCCCCGCCTCCGCTTCCCGGACAATTTTTGGCCAGATGACCGGTCTTGTTGCATCGATAGCAACGTGCGTTAGTTGCCCTTCGCCTCTTCATGCAGTCCTCAGAAGTGATTGGGCCCATTACATTCATAGCATGTGACAAGTGGGCCCATGTCTGGGGAAGAACGGGGAATCTGGGAGGGCTGCACATGGCGACGGCTGGTTCCTCTCTGCTGTCTCGTCCTTTATGATTGCCCGAGCTCTGGCCAATAGCTCCTCGAGACATATCATCCGCCCTGGCCGAGACCGCAGGGAGCCTTTTCACAGGATCAGGAATCCCCATACAAACACGCATGCCATCGCACTGTCTGGCACTCCTCAAAAAGGACGGAGAGCTTCAGAGATCAGCCAAATATACATCTCGGTCTCACCCGGACGTAATATACATGCCTCGAATTGTTCAGTATGCCGTGAATTTATCAGGGGCAAATGCTGTCATCAATGCTCCCTTGATTAGAACCACGTCCGATTTCTCTTCCGTGGAGATAGTTGCTGGTAAACCGCGAATGCTCCCCTGGTTAAACAAAGGGGATGACACGATCAAGCCGCTTCACTCCTGATAGGTCGCACACCAATTCCAATTTCTCGAGCCATTCAACCACAGATCCAGTCCCGTCAAACTCTGAATTATCTTTAAATCAAACCGGCTGTCCATGTTCGGCCCAAATAGCTTGTCGTATGTCCAGAAGTCGCTTTCTGTCTGCAATCCGTCTAGTCTCGCCCGAAGCCTAGAAAAGCAGTGGCCTCCGTCCACTCGCCGGGTTTTTAATCGGTAGCGTGGTTCTATTATGCAAATAAGTCTGCTGCATAAAATGGCAGAAGCGCATCGCCACGACCAACTCTCAGAGAATGGTTCGACACGCGAGGCAACGAATTCGCTTTGCTCCTGGTAAGTCACTGTCACTCCTATTACAATATATATATATATATACACACACACACACACACAAGAGATTAGAACAAAATCACAATAGCTTTCGTATTTCGGCATTATATGGTGCCTCTTCAGGAGATGGTAAGTAATTGATGATTAGCTCAGAAAATTTTGCATATATGGAAATAAAAGCTGCTGTTTATGCAATGTTTCCTTCCAGGATGTAGGTAATCGCAGCTCTCCACAACTTGCTTTTCCTTGTAGCCCAAAGCAATATTTGACATTTTGTCATCCTTCCTTGTTCTTTCTCTGTTATCTAGTCATGCAAACTCATTTCTGGTTGAGTTGCTCAATTTTTCTCTCGATTCCACTTTCCCTCAACAGTTTATTGATATTTAGAGTAATCAATCAGAAAAATGAGGTTGATAAGGTACAAAAAAACAAGGATGCTCAATGGCTTAAGAAAGGACCAATCACTGCTAATATAAGGGTCACATGACCCTGTCTCCATCAGCACCACATTCAAAGATCCACTCACTTTTTTTCTTCCATCTAGTCAATAAGGCAGCACAAAGCAACACTGTTCCCTCACCACATGCATGATCAGTGGTATTGAGGTACAGAAGAATGGTCCAGTAACCGCAAGAGAATGCTTTTCACTTAAGCTTAGTCTGCAAGCACTTTTTTCATTTCTCTTTTCTATCTGTGTATATTTAAATAGTACAAGTTGTGTTTTGCTCTCTTCCGAAGCTGTTGACCAGTTCATTTGAGCAAACAGGGACTTCGCACTTCCTCTTCATAAATTCAGGGTTGCATTTTGGTATAATGTGGATATAATCACCACAAATTGTCATTCTAGCTCATAATGTTATGAAATATCAATTTTCTCATTTTAAGATTCCCACTTTCTTTAAACAATCATCATTGCTCATATGTTCCTGCTTGCATTACTGTTATTTAATTCCACTGTCTTGTACTCCTTTTCACACTCACTTTGCTTACAAATTCTTGACAATTTATGTCCCCTACTTACTAACAATGCGCAAACTGCTCACCTTGGAATTCTTCAAAACAATGTTAGAGAATAGACCAGCCATAACCATGATTTTCAGAGAGAGAAACAAAAAAAAATGTAATTTAAAAAATGTTAAATTGCTTTAAGAAAAGAGACAATCTTAAATACAGTGTTGTCATTTTTTTGTGTTTCATAATTAAGATGAGGGAAAATAAGTCAAGAAAACCTACGATAGTGAAAAAAGTTAGAACGATTGCAATTTCTTCTGTATGCCATGTGCCCTGCAGGACATGCATGATCATGGCTCTCCACAATTCCCTGTTCTTAATAAAGTTGAATTTTTTTTTATGTATCTCCTAATCACTGTTCTAAAACCATTTACACAAGCTTGTTATATAGGTTACGCTCTACTTTTCTATCCCTTTTTGCCTTCAATATGTGCGGTGTGTGTCAAATTTTCCAAACCCTATTTCCTCATTATGTGCCCTAGAAATTTCAGTTCCTTCTAATGATACATATAAGTTTTCTATTTTGTTTCCATTTCCTGTAAAACTTTGTCATAACTCACGCATTCAGTCCATGGTATTCTCAGCATCATTCTGTAGAATCATATTTCAGCTGTCTCGAGTGTCATCTGTGAAGAAATTGCTCAGCATCCAATGCCATATAGGACCGATAATTGTACAAAATAAATTATATATTTTTTTTTTTTTTTTTTTTTTTTCAAAAAAAGTTTTGTTAGTTGACTGTGTGTGTGCATCTCCTCCTCCTGCTTTGGATATTCATGTTTTATGTATGGACTTCAGTAGACTTCAAAACAAGCATCATCACCAAATTGTCAGTAAATGTTTCAACTGCCTTGCAGTTCTGTTAAACTAATTGTCCCCTACTTCATATAGAAGTGCTGACTGTTTCACCCACCTCACACCACTAACTTCTGAAAAAGTGAACAGAGGAATAGGAGGAGGAAAAATAAGTAAATAAAAAGTAAAGAGAAAGAGAGAGGCGTGGTGTCATGTGACATGAAAAAAACCTCAAAACTCTTGCTGAAAAAAAAGAAAAAGAAAATAAAAGGGATCATTTTCCAATATTTTTTCTCTTTATTTAAAGGAAATACTGAGAATATGTATTTGACACAGTCTTGATAGCAGACATGGAAAGAAAACTAGCAAAGCTCCTACAGAAGTGAAAGAAAGTGAGAACCAACTAAACTGCAAGGAAACAGAAGGCATGGTTGTTAACAAAAGGATGAGACCAAAATGCAAATTATAAATCAGAGATACCCAAATCAAACAAGTACAAAAATTTAAATAACTGAGAATTGTTCTAACAGAGGATGGAAAAGGCAACACTGAAATCTGAAGACACATTGGGATGGCCAAAGATGCCTTCCAAAAGCTAAGCAGAGTATTAAGCAATAAAAAAACCTTTGTTAGAAACAAAGAAAAGAGTACTGAACTGTTACATGATATCTGTCCTGGGCACCTCAAGGTGGTGTAATGGTTAGCAAACTTGTCTTGCTAGAACAATTATGACTGGGTAGTGAGTTCAAACCTCACTGTGCCCCATACTTTCGGCCTTGAGCCACATCTAAGCTACGCTTGGAAAATAACTACATGATATCTGTCCTCCTGGAAAGCTGGACAATCACCTAAAAAATGTAGAAGAGATTTGAAGCAACAGAAATGTTGTCCTACAAATGGATGCTGAGGATACCATGTGAGCAATGATAAGGTTTTAACAAAAATGGGAACAAAGGAAATTTATACTTAATATCAGTTAGAGATAGTTGAAATTTATGGAGCAGATAATGAGGAAGTATGTTTGGAGAATCTGATACTCACAGGACAAATTGAGGAAAAAAGGAAAACCGTGCATAACATGAGTAAATGAATAGCAGAAAAGGGTTTAGGGGAAATAAAGAAAAGAATTTATTAACAGCTACAAAAGACAGGAAATTGTGGAGAGCCATGATCGACTATGTAATGAGGGGGACATAGCACATAAAGAAGGAGGAGGAAATAATTTAACATCTTTGAGGAAAAATACAACTCAAAGGTGAAATTTGATGCCACTTGGAAGTTGAGTCTCTGAATGCGACTCAGAAGGTAAGTGCGTAAGTCCGTTGAATCGGCGAATGCCTAAGTTCGTCGAAGGGCCGGCCGCCTTCATAGTGTTGTTGTAGCCAGACGCCCGTAATGCGCCTCAGAAGGTAAGTGCGCAAGTCCGTCGAAGGCACCTGTTTGTTGTCGCCGGACACGCGCCGCCCGCCTTGGCAGTGGTCAGAAAAGTAGTCTGCGCACGCACGAACTTGTCGCAAGAAACGAGATTCAAAAAGTCGATTGAACGTGTCGAGTGTGCTTGCCGTGTCGTTGCCGACCTTTCTGCACACCTTGCGCACTGACTGGTACGAGACTTTCTGAAAAAAGCAAAGGTTGTTACACGAACAGCTTTCGTTTGATATTGGTTGGAGTCTCTGACAATTAGGCTATCAGCACACACAGAGAAAGTGTGGGGAAAATGGCCTACCTCGGAAATGCCTGCGAATCTGTACGATGTGCAAACTCCAGTTTGCTAGCGGTAAAAGGAACCAAAATGGCGGCACCCATGTTTTATGCCAGGCAGTCTCAGTTAATTAACGCGATATCTCATTGTCTCGTCATTCGCATGCAAATCGTGGTCGGTCCTCGGCTGTATAAAGCAGGCGCTTTTTTTCTGTTTCAGATCAGAGTGCTTTTGGCTTGTGAGACGGTTTGACGTGTGACACTGGTTTTGTCAGTTACCCTCCTCGCGGTTTTTTGTTCTTACCTGTTATTATCAGTTGAGTTGTTGTGTTACCCCCACAGAAAGGGAGTGTTTTTTTGTTTTTTTAAACGCATTTTATACATGATATAAACATACCTGGCTACCAAAGTGCGCAATTCATGGTGAAGAGCTTTTAGTGTTAATTAGCAGCAGCTGATTAATTCCCTTTATATAAATTAACTGCAAATTCTTTTTTATGTGCCATGTCCCCTCAGGATGTAGGCAATCATGGCCCTCCACAACTACCTGTTCCTTGTAGCTCTGAATAAATTTTGTCCTTTTGCTATTTCTCCTAAATCCTGTTCTGCTGTCCATTTACTCAAAACCATCAAGCACAATATGAGCTGCTTTCCTCTGTCCCCCAATTTATCCTGTAAGTTTGCTGAAAACCAGTTTTCAGAAAATATGTCATTGATTTTTACTAACGTTAACATTTATTTGAAAGCCATTGTGAATTAACAGTCATAGAAGATACCTGATAATGTAAAGCTGTTACCAGCATCAGGCACAGAAAACAGATATGGGAAAATTAAGTTTGAATTTAAACTATTTAATGTTTATATAGCATTAAGGCTCTGAATGAAAGATGTGAATTCATATCTTTACTCACTCTTATCATGGATCTTGACAAAGAATATACTGTCACTGGTATGCCACAATAATTTAAGAAAAATTGGAAAATGAGTATAGACAGTGAAAAGAGATCATTAATTTGTAGATTCAAATTGGGTCACCAGGCTTTAGCGATCAATATAATAGTTATATGTTTGGTTACTTTGTACAGGGTGCAACAGAAATACCTGTGAAATATACCTTTCAGGAATAACTCCCACATAATACGAAGACATTTGTGGCAATGGTGTCTTCATCTAGGTAATTTCTGACCATTATGTGAGAGGCATTCCTGAAAAGTATAAGGTGTTTCTGCTACACTCTGTATAAAGAAGGTTCCTTGGGAATGTGGTAGCGGGCAAAGGCGGGAATTAGTTACTTGACAAGAGTGAAGGAAATCAAGTGTACAGTAATAGCATCAGACATATGGGGGTTACAAATTGTCTGCTAGGTCACACTCTAGTTGCTGTTGTATTTAGGACTATAAAAGAAAGTAACAAAATTTGTTTCATTTGTTTTTTCTCTGCAAGATGAGCCAGCAATAACAATGAAGACTTCATCACTTCCAGTAATATTTTATTTTACACACCATCAAAGCAAACTATTTCATTTAACACAAAACGATGATGGGTAAATACATGTGCGCATGTGTATATATCATTTTTCTCAAAAAAAAAAAAAAAAAAAAAAAAAAAACGTAGAAAAGAAAATTCTGGTATTTTTATTTTTGTGTTCCCCCACCCCGGCATTGGTCAAGCAGACCTTATGTGCATCTGTCCTGTCAAGCAGCATTCATGTGTATCATAATTCTTGCTTGTCTATGCAGCATTCATTTGAAACATGTCTAAGTTTCTGTGTGTATATATACAAACCCTGCTTACCAGTTCAGACGCAAGTGAATATGATTTTCTTTTCACTTCCAGGTTTCATTTTTTGATGAAACTTAGGTGGAGGTCAAACATTTATAAACCTTACCCATTTGTTTCTTGTTCTGTCGGATTCTGGTTCATATTTGGTCTATACTTGATTTCAATTCAAAAAAAAAAATAGATGTATAAAAATACTCCACATGTCAAATTCATTTATTCCGAAAGTATTTCTCATCAGCAATAAATCACAGCTCCTCCCACTAAAACTGGAGAACAACAACCTTGTCCATTACAAACCAATAAAAAGTCTTTCTTGCAAAACCTACTCTAACCTATTTTCCTGATACATGCAGATCATAAATTTCAATTTATAAATTAGTCACAGTAAGAGATTAAATATACAAAACAATTATAGCAATATACTAGTAGAAAAGTTATAACACAGAAAAAAAAAGTTCTTTGAAAAAAAAAAAAAAAAAAAAAAGGTTTGCAAACTTTTTTTACTTTCCTTATTAAGTCAAACTTTAACCTTTTCACTTAAAGAAAGCATCTTACAGCTTCTCATTGGCATAACCAAATTTCTGGCATCACAACTCTTGCACTTCAGAATCATTATGAAGTAATTTCTGGGTTGATTGTGAGCAATTAAAAATTGAAACATTCATAGTACTGGGCCATTTAAAGAAATAAAGACCAGATCCTAGAATTAACAAGAGCAAATATTTATTCATTCACTTTTCCGGTATATGAGCTGATCATTCTCTTAATGGCACAAGTAAAATTAATGCACCAGAAAATTTACCCTCAGAAACAGTGATTTTGGAAGGTGAAGCTGAAATGTGGCATTTTATCCGTCACATGGCGTACTATTGTTGATAGAAAGAAATCTAAAACTGTGCTCTGTTGTCAAGCAGCAACTCTGAAGAACATTTGTTTGTAACTGTGTTGAACAAGAATCCTTGGTATGCACCTTTATTTAAGAAGGCAGAAAGAATCATGTGAGGGCTTTTGGAAACTTTTCTTTCAGCATTCGTTCTGATTACACTGAAAATATTTATAGATTTTTTATGCAAATATCTTTTTATCATTATACGAAAGTTTGTGTTTTGATACCATCTGAAGAAAAAAAAAACTTTTTTTTCTTCTATGATTTAACTGAGAGAAGACAATTGTCATATGAGTAAATGGTCAAACTACTCACCTTTAACGACCTTACCATCCAGGATGTAAGAACACTAAAAAGGTATTATACAACATATCAGCCTGGAAAGAGCCAATTATATTAATTCTAAAAGTCTATCAATTCTTAAATCTTCAACTCTATATTTCTGTGTGCCAGCACTCTGAAATTTTATTTATTAATTTTTTTTTTCTCTTCTGAATAAGAGTAGATAGGTGTGTCTATCATTCAGTCCTCACACCGCCTCGGTCTTGAACAGAATGGAAGGTTTCTCACTTGTTATCCATTTAGGATTAAATTTCTGGTTCCTTCTAAAATCTACTTAAACTCTTTACTTCTGATGTCACCACCTAAACTCTGAAATATTTTTTACTATTTATTTACTATGCCCACTCCTGTCAATAGGAGTAGAGAGGTACATGTATTGTCTGGTACACACACCTCCCCGGTCTTTAGAACAGGAGTACAGGTTTGTTCCTTGTCCAGGACTGTGTGTCTAGTTCCTTTTCAAGTTTTTTTTTTCCTCTTTTACTCCCAGTAGCTCCTTGTATCTTAGTGGCATTATCACCTTGCTTGGAGGGAATTGATTAAAAATATATAAATACATGTATCAATATAAGAGTGACAGCAGATACATATTTTTATTAAGGTTAGTCACATTGAACACAAGCAAAATAATGTCTCATCAGTTTGTGTTCTGAAAATAATTGTTAAAAAGTTCTTTGTTTAGCAGAGAAAAATGTGCCACATTTTAGTCAATTTAGTGTGAATGCCATATAGTCAAATATTTTAATACAATTAACAAAATAAATACCTTTTAATCAAAGCTTTTAAACATTTTATAAATTAAAATATCAATCAATATCATTTGCATTAATTAAAAGTAAAACTATTTATTACTGATGAAAGGCTGTCAAAACATCAAGGGAAATGTTAATTACTCCATTTGTTATAAAATTTAAGAGGTTTTTGTCATTTTCTATTCAAAAGGCCTTTTTAACTGAGAAATTTGATTTTCTTTGTAAAAATATATATAAAAAAATATATATAAAAAAATATAAAATAAATATAAAAATATAAAAATATAAAATAAATATAAAAAAATATATATAAAAAATATATATAAAAAATATATAATGGTTGGGCACAAAGTCTTTGCTTTATATGTCAGTATATGTTGTCCTCAATTCTTGGTGCAGAATTTATTGTTCTATTTATTCTCTGGTTTCAATCTAAATTCTTATTTAATCATTTTTTTTCTGCAGGGATCTCAAACATGTGACAAAATAGAAACAATTGTAGATAATACATTTTTGTCCTTCAAAAAGACTTCAATAACGTTTATTGATGGAATTATATATATATATATATATATATATATATATATATATATATATATATATATATATATATATATATATACACACAAGAAGGCATGCTGGAGTAATGGATAGCAGCTCGGATTAAGAAATCAGAGAGCCAAGTTCAAATTCCAGTCAAATCCATTACATTTACTTACCCTTGGGAGAGGTATGAATCCTCTTCTCAGCTATGAGTAAATAGCAGGACAGAATGGGTTCTATAGCCTTGGATGGCAACTTCTCTAGAAAGACAACTCTGAATTCAAAACCTGTGGAAGGTCATTTGGGGATCTTGTGGCATGTGGTTCACCACTATAATCAAATCATATATGCAGATGTCTGGGTGTTGGTTTCTTGGAACTGAACTGCTTAACCCTCCTATGTCGATAAATGACAGGAGAGTCCAGCATATATATATATATATATACACACACACACACACACACACACAAGAAAAACCAATGATGTTGGTATGACCAACAGACAACTAGTTAGATGATCTAACATCTTACACAAGAAAAAGAAAGACCAAAAGACAAACCTCTACCAATGCAGAAAAGTGCTCAATAACCAGATTACCCAAACAGAGCAAATAAATGCTTCACAATGTCAACACTTAATAATGGACAACTCAAGTTGTTAGTCAAGTTTCATGCACTCAGGTTCTTCATATGACTAAAACACAAAAGAAAAGAATTTTATAAACAAGTGTATAATGCCAGCCTTTATAGGGGAATATATACCCGCGCACATATATATATATATATGGTTAAAAATATAAGTTAAGATTATACATCAAGAGGAACACTGAAGATGTAAGGATGGTAAACTTAAATTTTAAATTTCTGGCATTTGATATGTCTAGCCAAATTGTTTTTGTTGCTGCTGTTTTTAAATATCCCACATTGTAATAGCAGGAGACTTATTAAGGTGAAATGTACTATAAATGGATGCAAATTTACCATGGAAGACTCAGAAATTAGTGCACTTTCTATACATTTTTTGTCTTAGTAAATTAATTCTCGTTTAATTAAAACTGCATTAAGTTGAAATTATGTCCAAATTCATTAAAATAACTAATGAACTTCATGTATTAATTTTCTTGTAAAAAATCCTGTTTATATACTTTTTAATTTTTACTTTTGAAAGATGAAACATGTTACATAGTTTTTTTTTTCTATTTTCCCCACCATTGGTCTGATATTCTTTATGTATGCTATGCCCCTTCATGATGTAGGTGATCATAACTCTCCGCAATTCCTATCTTTCATAACACTTAATAAATTTTGTCTTTGTTATTTCTCAAACCTTGTTCCACCAACCATTTACTCAAGTTCACCAAGTATGTTGTGTTGTTATCCTTTGTCCTCTGAGTATCAGATTTTCCAAGCACTCTTTCCTCATTATGTGTCCAAGAAATTTCAACTATCTCTTCTTGATGTTAATTATGTTTCTTTTTGTTTTCATTTACTCTAAAGCTTTGATGTTGCTCACATGTTTGATCCATGGTATTCACAGCATCCTTCTGCAGAACAACATTTCTGTTGCTTCTAGCCTCTTCTTCATTTCTTCATCTTTAAGGAGATTTTCCAACATTCACTGCCATATATATATATATATATATATATATATATATATATATATATATATAGAAATAAATAAAAGGGCTGATATGTAACAGTTCAATATTCTTTTTCTTGTAATAAAATTTTTCTGCTTAGCTTTTGGAATGCATCTTTCATGATCCCAATGCATTTTCGAATTTCAGTGTCATACTTTCCATCCTCTGTTAAAACACTTGCAAGATACAACAAGAGGCACAATTCTTCAGGTATCAGGGAATATGCTTCAAAAATAATTTTCATACATGTTTCACTGTGTAATATATTCAACAACATGGTATAATAAAAAGAGTGGTCAAAGGACACATTTCTCCAATGAGGTAACATGAAATTATGTAAAACAATAAGACATCAACTTTGGACATGTGACCAAGTGCTGATGTGGTTTTGAATAGGGAATGTATGCATTTAATGACTAGTAAGCATTTGCATGCAGCCAGTTTTTCCTCATTTTTTGTAATGAGCATGTGCAGAAATATTCTCGAACAGGGTGTGTGTGTTGTTGCCAAGCACACCTTGGAGTACCATAATGGACTCGACCGAGGACTACAAGAAGACGCGCGAGTCGTTTGGGGTCTTTTCTTGGGCGACAAAAGCCGTTGCGGTTGGTCGTCCGTCAGCAGCAGTCTTGGGTGCCGTCTTGCTTGTTTGCTGTCGTAAAGTGTTTGTTCGCAAGAAGGCGTTCGTTTTTTTTGTGTCGCAAGTAGGCATTCGTTTTTGTGTCGCATTCGTTTCAGGTTCACAAGAAGGCGTTCATTTTTTTGTGTTGCAAGTAGGCGTTCATTTTTGTGTCGCATTCGTTTCAGTTTTGCAAGAAGGCGTTCGTTTTTGTGACGCAAGAAGTTGTCCCCCCCCCGTTTTCTCGCACATTTTTTTTTTTGTAGTTAGATTTCAAACAATTTGAAATAAGGAAACCTTGTTCAACTTTTTTCTGTTTCAATGAAACAAGGGTTGCTATCAACAACACAACTTTGTTGCATTGTTGATAGCAACCCTTGTTGTTGTGTTCTGTTTTCATTACAGTTATCATGCTGGCCAAAAAGATCATGTTATTTCTGTATTTGTTGTTCATATTTTAAGCATTTACTTTAAAGCAACTTTATTCAAAAAGATTGTTTGTCTTGGAATAATTGTCAAATGTAAATTTCTCCCTTTTATCACATGTGCCATAAAGCAATTGTAATCTCAAATATACAAACATCAATACACACAATAAATATAAAAAAGTTGTATAAAATTAATATACAATTTACCATGCTTTTCATGTTATTTGTGTACATTTTATTTCCTATCAAGTATGTTTTTATCTCCATGAACATAAGGCTAATTTCTGCTGTTATGTGAGTGAAGCCCCACATAATCACAAATACAATTTTTGTCCCTTTACAACTCTCTCTCTGTGTGTGTAGAACCCTGTTAAAAATTAGGGAAAAAAATTCAACGGATTTATATATTATCACTAAAATCTCAATTCTGTGCCCAAATCGGACCATGCAGACATCACTTCAATTCTGTCCAAAAATAGGGTCACACAAACTTCAAATTTCCACATTAGCATTTATTAACCTATCAGTGACATCTCAAATGCTGTTCAAGTTTTCAAAAAGCAGACAAACCTTTTTGTTTGCAACAAAAATTGGAGGATCACATCTGGAAAATGATTATCAATCTTGCCTTATTAAAAATTGAGAAATATATTTATCAAAACTTCTGAGTTTAGTAAATCTATCTTCCAGTGATCCAATTTTTTCTTATAAATAGTATAATGTGAATTAATAGTATTTAGTCTTCAGTATAATTTGACTGAGGACTGTAAACAATACTGCATACTCAAATCAACTTAAGTACTAAGTTCTTTCTTGCAAGTTACTTCTCACTTTTAAAATATTTTCATAAAACAGTTTGCACAGTTACATTATGAAAATATCCAATCAAGATATATAAACAAAGCATAATTGTAGAAGCAGTAGTTGTAGAGAATTGACCATGGCTGCTGATGAAATTGTATCATACATACACACAATATAACACAAATTATACATTTCTGCATGATGAATTCATACATACCTTTTACCCTATATTAGTACAACTCATTTCTTTTGTGTTGGAAAAAGAAAAAGAAAACATTTTTCGTAGGCACTTTGATTGCGATGAACTTTATAATTTGTTTCTTTCAATTTAAAAGAAAGCAATTATTTTTATACTCAATAAAATTATTTAAATTTGAAAAGCTGTGTTTGAAGATTATTTCTTTGCTTTACACAGTTTTTCCTCTAGATATACAAATAAAAAAAAACTTGCAAATTAACTATTTGTCAAAAACAGCTATATGAATAAAAAACACTGAACGCAAATTCAAACAACAAAAATACAGCGCAATTTAAGACATCAAATTTTACAGCAAAATAAAATTTCCGTTACCGCAGTTTCGCCATCTCTGGTATCTTCAGGCAGTAAGTTAGATTTTCAAAGTCTAAATTAGTGGTTGAAGATGCCAGTGGTGATGAAACCATGGTAGCAGAAAGTTGGTTTTCTGTAAAATTTTATGTCATGTAAGATTGCTAGCTATTAATACTACCATAATCAATCTCTTACTGCTATTAATACTACCATAATCAATCTCCTACCGCTATTAATACTACCATAATCAATCTCCTACCACTCTTCAGCAAAGACTGAGGCTTTAATCAACACCAAAATGGTTAAGCATCTTACATCCCATGATCTGTTGACAAGCAATATGGTTTCTGCTTTGCTCCATCTACTGTTGATATGCTCACGGCCATTACTGAACTTGATAATGATAGAGACACTTGAGCTGTTGCTCTAGATATCTCTAAAGTGTTCAATAGGATTTGGCAAGCTGGACTTCTTCATAAGCTTCAGGGATATGGCATTACAAGATGATTATTTGATTTAATAAAATCATTCCTGTTGATCCCGGAAATGATGGTCATCCTAAACAGGTTCTATTCCAGTTCCTTTCATAAGAATACTGGTTTTCCCCAAGACTCTATCCTGGGTCCTACACTGTTTCTGATCTTTATCAATGATCTTCCTGATGTCATCAGTTCCCAAGTAGGCATCTACGCAGACATGACACTACTATTTACTCCTGCCTCATTAGTGAATTCAGCATCACTGTCAAAACTAATCTGGCCGTTGGTCTCGAAAAGGACCTCCAATCTGTGATTGACTGGGGTAGGAAATGGCCTGTAAATTTTAATGCCTCCAAAATGAAACTGCTCTCATTTACCCACAATAGAGAACCATCCCTGCCTCCCATCAGAATGGGAAAGATTTTTTTAATGCATATCAAATTTAACAAAATTTCTGTTCATAAAGAGTTCCATATTAGACTAGTGCAATAATTATTATTAGATATAATGTGCAATGTTTAATGAAGGTTGACTCAAGAATTTTGCAATTTTTCAATTGCAGAAAATTTGTTTTATTATCTTGTAAACACATTTATATATGTTAACATTCAAATTTAAATTTTATTATAATTCACAAGCTCTCTACAACAATTGGTAAGTCAAATAATCTTATTGTGTTTGTAACTTTAAATTTAGAGTTACAATTGTAAATCTTCCTGAATTCTTGAATTAAAAAGCTAAATTATTTTTTTTTTGGTAATTCTTTTTTTTTTTTATTTATTAAAATAGGGTGGCACTAACATTGATGGAATCCTTGGGGTGAGGCTGCACACATTGCTTTTATGCGAACTGCCTAATAGCAATACAGCAAGAAGAACCAGAACAGATACTAGACTTTCATCCCAGTATGAAGGCCCAAGTAAATGGATTTTTTAGTGCATCCACATCACTATTGAATGTGACTGCAGGTCAGTTTAAAGTGGGTTTAACAGCAATGATGGAAAAATTGCTCAAGCCCCCTCAGCACTTCCCATTTTGAGGATGCCTCAGCTGCTGGGTAATGACCCCAGCTCCATCTCAAAGGATATTTGTGCATAAGTGAATGCACCAAACGCAACTGAAATTTGAACTTGGCTCTCCAACTTCTCATTCCAGATCACTTTCCATTACACCACCTATGTATCCTGAATTAAAATGATTAATCTGAAAATGTTTTTAAATTATATTCATTTTTATCTCAATGAATTTCATCAATTTTTATGCACGTCTAATTAAAGGTATTTTTTTTTCAATAAATACTAAGAGAGAGGTTTACCTAATATGCAATTCACATTCCTTCCCAGTCTTTTAAACAGGAGTAGAGGTTTATCCCTTGTTTCCTGTTTAGGAATGTCTCCAATTCCTTCTAAGGACTTCTCATTCTCTTTCACTGTCAGTAGTCCCTTGCGTCTTTCTGACATTATTGTCTTGCTTGGCTCCTTCTAAAGCTTACTTCAATGTGTCTGCCCGAATTCTGAAATTTTATTGGCAAATTTTTTTTCTCGTATAGGAGTAGATAGGTTCATCTATTGTTCAGTTCCCTCTCCAGTCTTTTGAACAAAAGTAGAGGTTTATCCCTTCTTTTATGTTTAGGATTGGGTTTCCAGTCCCTTCTTGAGTTTTTTTTTACATTTCTTTCACTTCCAGTTACCACCCTTGGGTCTTAGTGGCATTATTGCCTTGGTTGGGTTGAAATGATTTAAAAAAAAAAAAAAAAAAAAAACGAAAAAAAAAAACACTATTGGTCATCAGTTCTGCCAGTTTAAAATCACCTTGTTAAACAATTAAAAAGAAGTCTTGCAAATTACAAAAAAAAAAAGATTGGTGTTCAGAAATTTCTTCTTGAACAATACAAGTGTTGAGAGATGCCATCTGCAAAACAATCTTCTCTCTGAATTCACCATTATGTCTTATCAATGGTACTGCCTCTGGATAAAAGACAATGCTGCCAAGAAGTATGATTGAAAATTCCATTTCCTGGAAAAGTGCTCAGTGCCAAAGACTTGTCAATTGTAAAATTGCAACCACCCCCATTACTGCTGGTATCATCACATTGCTAAAAAAGTGAGGAGACAACAAAAAAAACACTCCCTCTCTGATCAAGACATTTTTTTTTGTGATGTCAACATTGGTTGCTAATTTTGTAATGTTCGTTGTAATCAGAGATACAACTATAGTAACGCCATTGAACAATACTGGTGTTAAACACCTTCGAATAACATTCACACTGATAATACTTGCTTGAAAAGTAACCACTGAATAGTTATCTGAATAGTAATCCATATAGTGATCTCTTAGATGCCACACTAATTCCTATATATATATATATATATATATATATATATATATATATATATCCTATATAATATATATGATATACAAAAATTATTTAAATTGGGATCGCCTGTGTTTGCTCTTTGGTGATCTGTGTTCAAACTCCAGTATCAGCAGCAACACTTTATTCCTATATAACATTTTTAAGAGGAGTAATGGAATTTAATCCATTTATTATTTCACAAGTTGACAATTGGTTATTCAAGAAACTGTTTTTAAAATTTAAATGTACATTTTTTTTTTTTCAACAATATCTACTTGTCAAAAGCTTTTTCATCATTTGGCTGGAGATTAATCATTTAAAAATAACTTTATATTAAAACAGGATATTTAATTAAAAAAAATGCACCTAAAACATCTCCATATTTCCTAGACCCTATTTAATATTCTATTTCTCAATATTGAAGAAATGCTTTTGAAGGTAGACAGAAACACAGTTAATATGTATTCTTAAAGTCTAATCTATTTCTAAAGGTAAAAATAATAAAAAAAATAAAAGCAAAGATACAATGAATTCACAATAAGTTAATTCAAACTCCTTTTCA